TGGCCACAACCACTACTACAACTACTTCCTCTTCTGCTGCTATTAATGCTGCCGCCACTACTGTTACTGTGGCCACTACCACCACTACAACTACTTCCTCTTCTGCTGCTATTAATGCTGCCGCTACTACTGTTACTGTGGCCACTACCACTACTACAACTACTTCCTCTTCTGCTGCTATTAATGCTGCCGCTACTACTGTAACTGTGGCCACTACCACTACTACAACTACTTCCTCTTCTGCTGCTATTAATGCTGCCGCCACTACTGTTACTGTGGCCACTACCACTACTACAACTACTTCCTCTTCTGCTGCTATTAATGCTGCCGCCACTACTGTTACTGTGGCCACTACCACTACTACAACAACTTCCTCTTCTGCTGCTATTAATGCTGCCGCTACTACTGTTACTGTGGCCACTACCACTACTACAACTACTTCCTCTTCTGCTGCTATTAATGCTGCCGCCACTACTGTTACTGTGGCCACTACCACTACTACAACTACTTCCTCTTCTGCTGCTATTAATGCTGGTGCTACTACTGTTACTGTGGCCACTACCACTACTACAACTACTTCCTCTTCTGCTGCTATTAATGCTGCCGCTACTACTGTTACTGTGGCCACTACCACTACTACAACTACTTCCTCTTCTGCTGCTATTAATGCTGCCGCTACTACTGTTACTGTGGCCACTACCACTACTACAACTACTTCCTCTTCTGCTGCTATTAATGCTGCTGCTACTACTGTTACTGTGGCCACTACCTACTACTACAACAACTTCCTCTTCTGCTGCTATTAATGCTGCCGCCACTACTGTTACTGTGGCCACTACCACTACTACAACTACTTCCTCTTCTGCTGCTATTAATGCTGCCGCTACTACTGTTACTGTGGCCACTACCACTACTACAACTACTTCCTCTTCTGCTGCTATTAATGCTGCCGCTACTACTGTAACTGTGGCCACTACCACTACTACAACTACTTCCTCTTCTGCTGCTATTAATGCTGCCGCCACTACTGTTACTGTGGCCACTACCACTACTACAACTACTTCCTCTTCTGCTGCTATTAATGCTGCCGCTACTACTGTTACTGTGGCCACTACCACTACTACAACAACTTCCTCTTCTGCTGCTATTAATGCTGCCGCTACTACTGTTACTGTGGCCACTACCACTACTACAACTACTTCCTCTTCTGCTGCTATTAATGCTGCCGCCACTACTGTTACTGTGGCCACTACCACTACTACAACTACTTCCTCTTCTGCTGCTATTAATGCTGGTGCTACTACTGTTACTGTGGCCACTACCACTACTACAACTACTTCCTCTTCTGCTGCTATTAATGCTGCCGCTACTACTGTTACTGTGGCCACTACCACTACTACAACTACTTCCTCTTCTGCTGCTATTAATGCTGCCGCTACTACTGTTACTGTGGCCACTACCACTACTACAACTACTTCCTCTTCTGCTGCTATTAATGCTGCTGCTACTACTGTTACTGTGGCCACTACCTACTACTACAACAACTTCCTCTTCTGCTGCTATTAATGCTGCCGCCACTACTGTTACTGTGGCCACTACCACTACTACAACTACTTCCTCTTCTGCTGCTATTAATGCTGGTGCTACTACTGTTACTGTGGCCACTACCACTACTACAACAACTTCCTCTTCTGCTGCTATTAATGCTGGTGCTACTACGACTACTACCACTTCTTCTGCTGTTGTTACATCTTCTTCTGCTGCTGCTACTACTGTTACTGTGGCCACTACCACTACTACAACAACTTCCTCTTCTGCTGCTATTAATGCTGCCGCTACTACTGTTACTGTGGCCACTACCACTACTACAACTACTTCCTCTTCTGCTGCTATTAATGCTGCCGCCACTACTGTTACTGTGGCCACTACCACTACTACAACTACTTCCTCTTCTGCTGCTATTAATGCTGGTGCTACTACTGTTACTGTGGCCACTACCACTACTACAACTACTTCCTCTTCTGCTGCTATTAATGCTGGTGCTACTACTGTTACTGTGGCCACTACCACTACTACAACTACTTCCTCTTCTGCTGCTATTAATGCTGCCGCTACTACTGTTACTGTGGCCACTACCACTACTACAACTACTTCCTCTTCTGCTGCTATTAATGCTGCTGCTACTACTGTTACTGTGGCCACTACCTACTACTACAACAACTTCCTCTTCTGCTGCTATTAATGCTGCCGCCACTACTGTTACTGTGGCCACTACCACTACTACAACTACTTCCTCTTCTGCTGCTATTAATGCTGGTGCTACTACTGTTACTGTGGCCACTACCACTACTACAACAACTTCCTCTTCTGCTGCTATTAATGCTGGTGCTACTACGACTACTACCACTTCTTCTGCTGTTGTTACATCTTCTTCTGCTGCTGCTACTACTGTTACTGTGGCCACTACCACTACTACCACTACTACAACAACTTCCTCTTCTGCTGCTATTAATGCTGGTGCTACTACGACTACTACCTCTTCTTCTGCTGTTGTTACATCTTTTTCTGCTGCCGCTACTACTGTTACTGTGGCCACTACCACTACTACCACTACTACAACAACTTCCTCTTCTGCTGCTATTAATGCTGGTGCTACTACGACTACTACCTCTTCTCCTGCTGTTGTTACATCTTCTTCTGCTGCCGCTACTACTGTTACTGTGGCCACTACCACTACTACAACTACTTCCTCTTCTGCTGCTATTAGTGTTGGTGCTACTACGACTACTACCTCTTCTTCTGCTGTTGTTACATCTTCTTCTGCTGCTGCTACTACTACTTCTGCTACGATTACCTTATTGTTACTACTACTTCGGCTAAAGCTACTCCTTCTATATCTTCTTCTAATGCTTATGATGTTACCAATACTGCTGCTACAACTATATACTACTGCTACTACTACCGCTACTATTACTACAACTACTATATACCACTACTTCTACTTCTACTACTACTACTACAACAAACAAACATTGTTGTAACTTAGATAATCCTCAAACTATGCACTCACAAACGTATTTAGTCCCGTCGCGCTCACACAGTCAAAGCACATACACACAGTCCACACCCATAAAGACACAGACAAAGACACAGACAGACAGACAGACACACACACACACACACACACACACACACACACACACACACACACACACACACACACACACACACGCGCGCGCGCGCGAAAAGCCAACACACAAACAACAAACGCAGTCAAGATACACTGGTGTACAGAAAGTTTAATCTCTCTTTATTTTTTGTTGTCTTTACATGGGTGTCAATGTCCCGTCAGATGATACTTATAACCACACAGACCATGTCTACGACTCTACCACTGGGGATATACGCAGGTGATGAAGCTGTCTGGATGCGCATCAGGCTCTCGCCTTCATAAAGCATCCCCGCTCAGTGTGATATGACGCTACATCCTCCAGTGGTATTGTGCTATGACGCTACATTCTCCAGTGGTAGTGTGATATGACTCTACATTCTCCAGTGGTAGTGTGATATGACGCTACATTCTCCAGTGGTAGTGTGATATGACTCTACATTCTCCAGTGGTAGTATGATATGACTCTACATTCTCCAGTGGTAGTGTGATATGACTCTACATTCTCCAGTGGTAGTGTGATATGACTCTACATTCTCCAGTGGTAGTGTGATATGACGCTACATTCTCCAGTGGTAGTGTGATATAATGCTACATCCTCCAGTGGTCGTGTGATATGACGCTACATCCTCCAGTGGTAGTGTGATATGACTCTACATCCTCCAGTGGGAGTGTGATATGACGCTACATCCTCCAGTGGTAGTGTGATATGACTCTACATTCTCCAATGGTAGTGTGATATGACTCTACATCCTCCAGTGGTAGTGTGATATGACTCTACATCCTCCAGTGGGAGTGTGATATGACGCTACATCCTTCAGTGGTAGTGTGATATGACTCTACATCCTCCAGTGGTAGTGTGATATGACGCTACATCCTCCAGTGGTAGTGTGATATGACTCTACATTCTCCAGTGGTAGTGTGATATGACGCTACATCCTCCAGTGGTAGTGTGATATGACTCTACATCCTCCAGTGGTAGTGTGATATGACGCTACATCCTCCAGTGGTAGTGTGATATGACTCTACATTCTCCAGTGGTAGTGTGATATGACGCTACATCCTCCAGTGGTAGTGTGATATGACTCTACATCCTCCAGTGGTAGTGTGATATGACGCTACATTCTCCAGTGGTAGTGTGATATGACGCTACATCCTCCAGTGGTAGTGTGATATGACGCTACATCCTCCAGTGGTAGTGTGATATGACTCTACATCCTCCAGTGGCAGTGTGATATGACTCTACATTCTCCAGTGGTAGTGTGATATGACGCTACATCCTCCAGTGGTTGTGTGATATGACGCTACATCCTCCAGGGGTAGTGTGATATGACGCTACATCCTCCAGTGGTAGTGTGATATGACGCTACATCCTCCAGGGGTAGTGTGATATGACGCTACATCCTCCAGTGGTAGTGTGATATGACTCTACATCCTCCAGTGGTAGTGTGATATGACGCTACATCCTCCAGTGGTAGTGTGATATGATGCTACACCCTCCAGTGGTAGTGTGATATAACGCTACATCCTCCAGTGGCAGTGTGATATGACGCTACATCCTCCAGTGGTAGTGTGATATGACGCTACATTCTCCAGTGGTAGTGTGATATGACTACATTCTCCAGTGGTAGTGTGATATGACTACATTCTCCAGTGGTAGTGTGATATGACGCTACATCCTCCAGTGGTAGTGTGATATGACTCTACATCCTCCAGTGGTAGTGTGATATGACTCTACATCCTCCAGTGGTAGTGTGATATGACGCTACATCCTCCAGTGGTAGTGTGATATGACTCTACATCCTCCAGTGATAGTGTGCTCTGACTCTACATCCTCCAGTGGTAGTGTGATATGACTCTACATCCTCCAGTGGTAGTGTGATATGACGCTACATCCTCCAGTGGTAGTGTGATATGACTCTACATCCTCCAGTGGTAGTGTGATATGACGCTACATCCTCCAGTGGTAGTGTGATATGACGCTACATCCTTCAGTGGTAGTCTGTTACGGCATAACAGTGATACGTATGACGTTTTGCAAGCAGACAATAGCATCTTCAGAAACACCACTTGATTGCCCCGTGTAGGATGAGGATGCCAGCCAGCAACAGAAGGCTCGCCTGTAGTCCTGGAAATAATTAATATGTAATTATGATTTAACTAATGTAAATAGTTGTATAGGCTAAATTTCAATGATTAAGATCTTAAAACTATAGTCTATAGATGTAATGAAGTTATGAGTGTTTGGAACTGAGATAATATTCTATTTACCGTACTAAAATTGTGATCGCTTTAAAGCATTAAACTCCAAACTGTCTTATTCTTTGAAGACGTGTAATTGGGATGAAGAAAAACCTAACTGGGGACTAATGTTGAACGAAATAATTTACACTACAACTACAACTACCACTACTACTACTACTACTACTACTACTACAGCTACTACTACTACTACTACTACTACTACTACTACTACTACTACTACTACTGCTACTACTACTCATGCTACTACTCATGCTACTACTACTACTACTCATACTACTACTACTACTACTACTACTACTACTTATAGGCCGTCTCCGTGGTCTAGTGGTAGAGCGTCCGCTTGGAGAGCGGAAGGCCTGGGGTTCGATCCCCGACCGCGTCATACCAAAAGACGTTAAAAGATGGTACTTGTTACCCTGTCTGGCGCTCGGCATTCAGGGGCTAAAACAAGGACTGGTCGGCTCGGAGTCAGTATACTGTGTCTGAGTGGGGTATTCATGTTAAACTGCGGCATGGTTACTCAGTGAGCTAGCACTATAAATCGGCATCAGTCCGGACTAGTACAAGCAGCCACACACGCACACACACACACACACACACACGTGCATGCACGTCGCTATATAAGTGCAATAATCTTGGACGCGACGTTAAACCCCATTTCACCTCACCTCACCACTACTACTACTACTACTACTACTACTACTACAACTACTACTCATGCTACTACTACTACTACTACTACTAGTACTACTGATCATCATACTACTACTTATACCACTGCTACTACTACTACTCATGCCACTACTAGTACTACTACTACTCATACTACTACTACTATTACTACTACTACAACTAATACTCATGCTACTACTACTACTACTACTACTACTACTACTTCTACAGATAATACTTATACTGGTACTACTACTCATACTACTACTACTACTTCTACTACTACTACTCATGCCACTACTAGTATTACTACTACTCATACTACTACTACTATTACTACTACTACAACTAATACTCATGCTACTACTACTATTACTACTATTACTACTACTACTTCTACAACTAATACTTATACTGGTACTACTACTCATACTACTACTACTACTACTTCTACTACTACTACTGATCATCATACTACTACTACTTATACCACTACTACTACTAGTACTACTACTACTCATACTACTACTACTACTACTGCTACTCATACTACTACTTCTACTACTACTACTACTACTACTACTCATACTACTACTACTTATACTTGTACTACTACTCATACTACTACTACTACTACTACTACTACTACTACTACTACTCCTAGTGGGGGGCACGGGTGGCCCAGTCGTCTAAGGCGCCGTGATTCGCTGTGCAGAGTTGCGTCCCTTGGGCACGCCAGAAACCTATGATTGTGGGTTCGAATCCCGGTTCGCCCCGATTATGTTTCTAGGTTTGTCAGCACCATACCCATGCTCGTGGTTTTCACCGAAGTGGTAAACTACTACTACTACTACTACTACTACTACTACTACTACTACTACTACTACTTATACTACTACTTATACTACTACTATTACTACTTATACTACTACTACTAGTACTACTACTACTACTACTACAACTACTACTACTACTACTATTAGTAGTAGTACTACTCATACTACTTCTTCTACTACTACTACTATTCATACTACTTCTACTACTACTACTACTACTACTACAACTACTACTAGTAATTGCAACAACCACCAAAATAATAATGGACATTCGAGACAAAGACATAATAGTACAATCGCGTATCAAATAATACCTGTATTTCGTGATTATACAAATAACGCCAAAGAAACATCAGCACATCGTCAGTACTGATTATGTCTATCACGTTAATTAAATATACTCGAGAAAAGGGCGAATTTTAAGTGAAATTCGAATTATCGAGCTCGGAATGAGCCGTCCTTGAGACCGTGCGCTCACATAGTGTCAGCTTATGATATCGCTACTTACCACTGGCCTGACTAGCTGGAGGGATCGTTCCTGAAACAAAAGTGGTCATTTTAATGATACGTTTGTATAATAGAGATTAGGGATGGGACGAGTCCGAATATACTACCCGGGTACCCACTCCCTATTACCCGACCCTACCCGGGTACCCACTGTAGGTCTCAAGAGATAGGTACAAAATGTGCGATGGGGCATATGGCTACCTTAGCACTGAACATATTTAGATACATGTATTAAACAATCTGGTCATGCATACACTGAAGTTGACTCAAGTTATATCTTTATTCAAAGATATGAAAAGTCAGAAGGAATGCGAACATTTGTGACTTGTAGTGTAACCATAGAGTTCTAGATACTTTTTTGTCATTAAACAATATATCACGTGGCTATCCACGGGTCCGGGGAGTCCTGTGGGTACCGGGGCCTACTCAGTACCTACCCGACCAGGGTACCCGAGTTACCAGTCCCAGCCCTAATAGAGAGACATATATAATTAGTGATATAATTGATGAGACAATTGTTTATAACATACAGAATATATCTCCCACTTTTTAAGATTTGACTTCAGTATAGTTTTTTACGTTTATAACCCATAAATGCAAATACATATTGAATTTCAATATATCATTTTTGATAAATAACTATGTCAACAATAACAACTTAACTGCTTATTTAAAGATTTAAGCACAAAATTGTAGACAGCATTACGTCCATTCCGTTATCAGCCAATCAGGAGACAGTAGTTTGTTAGTGAGCGTAGCTTATTTTTTCGGTTTATGGCAATTAAAACGCAAAAATAATTGTTTGTTAGCCAATCAAATACCGCGGAATCACTTGCAGTTTATGGTTAATATATGAAATACAGTTGAGAGAAGCGCTACTAAAATGTCTGACGTTGAGAAGCCTTACAGCTGAATTGCGAGGTATAAGAAATATATTTCCAGGAGCTTGATTGGTTTTTCAGAACCCCTCCCCGAGAAAATCAAATGGTTTCTCCTTTATCATGCAGTCAGGATAAAAACTGTAACTTGACACCGGGTGTTGAAGGATTCTCAAGTTCACATGATATTTATACCACACACGGTGTATTGGAACATAATTTACATGTACATTAACCGACGTTACCTGTTAGTACCACGTTCAGCAGCGTCACAGATCCCGCTTTCGTACCCATCACAATGATTGCCTCCCTCCCTGTAGGACTTTTGTCCTTTGGCAAAAATCTGAATGGGGGAAAATACGGAGGATACAGAGAAAGTGTTGTTGAAAAATATCACCAATCATTTTAATCAAATCACATGTGACGTCAATATTTGTTCAAATGCTCCATGTCGATTTATTCAGCAACTGAGGAATGATAGTGACGTCAGATCTCCCCGCATAAAGTTCGTCTATTACAAAGGCCGCTTTTGAAGACATGTTGTTTTGTGCGACCCGTGAAGATCTGGGGTAGAATAGGTCTTCAGCAACTCATGCTTGGGTAGAATAGGTCTTCAGCAACTCATGCTTGCCGTAAAAGGCGACTTTGCATGTCGTAAAAGGCGACTAACAGGATCGGTGGTCAGGTTCGCTGACTTGGTTGATGCATGTCATCGTATCCCGATTGCGTGGATCGATGCTGATGATGTCAATCTGTGGATTGTCTGGTCCAGACTCGATTATTTTACAGACCGCAGTCATAAAGCTGGAATAAACAACAAACAAACACACCTCATAAATGTACGTGACCGTCTCTTTCAAAGAGTGTTGGGGAATGAAAGACTTACATGATGTGTTCTGGGGCGACGCCCTTCATTTCCTTGTTGGTAAACATACTTCTCCACGTCAGTGATGTGTTTGTCACCCCAGCCCAGATACACTCGAGTCTTGGTTTGATTCCGTCAAGGATGGAGTAGACGCTGATAGTTCCTGGATCCTCGTTCCCGATGAAGATCAAAGAGAGTCTACCAATTGCACCAACTGACACGCTTTCCGGTTCAGGACCCTGTCACATTATTATTATTATTATTATTATTATTATTATTATTATTATTATCATCATTATTATTATTATTATTTACAGATAAAAATAAAAAATGCAGTAAAGAGGGTTTGTGTGATCCTGGCAAAGTCAGGCTGGTTAGGCTCATCATCAGCTCAGGGCCCTTGCCCCTCTACACGCAGCCCAGACAGCGAATGGGACTTCTCCCAGGAAGCGCTACCTTGTCAAACCCTCCCACAACTTTTCGGAGAATGTGAAGACTCCCCAACACTGAAGCCTTCTGCATTACCCAGATTGTCAGAAGGGCTGTATTCCTGGTAGCAAACCCGGGTACTCTCGAAATGTCAGTCAACAGATTGGGAGGTACCAAATCTAAGGCACTGAAAACAATGGGAAGTCGGACAACTTGGTACTTGGGTTGCAAGCGTGACCTTTCGAAAGCGAGGTCCGCATATTTGCCATGTTTTTCCTGAATCTTGTCAATCACATTAGTGTCAAAAGGAACAGAAAATCCAATGACCAGGGTTGTTGGCCTGGATACGTCTGAGGCTGTAAACGGGCCTATTCCAAAGAATTTTGTATTTATCATTTTTCCATGACACCCTCTACATATTCTGGGTCGTACCATGGAAGGACCTCTGTGTCAAAAACGCAAGCATGGCGAAGACAGTAAAAAAATGATCGAGCCATTCCATCATGTCGCCTAAGATTCTGTGTTTGTGCCAAAGATGGGCATCCACTGACAATGTGTTGGGCAGTCTCATTAAATTCATTACATAACCTAAATTTCATATTTACATTTTGATGCAAAATCACACAGTGACGGCTTTGAGTGGGAAGTCCTGGTCCTGAGCAGCAAACAGAAAGCCTTCTGTTTGACTTTTTTCAGGCCAGCCGACTTCATCCAAGCAAAGGACTCTGCAGGGTTGCCAATCATCTGAACACACTGCACATAAACTCCGACACACTTGACTCATCTCGAAGGGACTGGAAGGCTGGGAACGAGGTTGGTGGGTCAGATTAAGGACGAGGAACTGTGACAATTGAATGAGGGAATATATGTTTGACCCCCCCCCCCCCCCCTCCACACACACACACACACACACACACACACACACACACACACACACACACACACACACACACACACACACACACACACACACTGGGGCGGGCAGTGTCAGTGTATGAACCTCGGTAATATCTCGACGTACAGGACCTAGGTACTTCAACAGACAACTTGTCGTTCGAAATATATCCAGCTTATAATACTTCGGACACAGATCTGTGTTGATGTTAATGTGGTAGCGCACAAATCACGCCAGCTAAGTCAGTTCATCAATCATATGCGGGTTTATCATACCACAAAAAAATAAGATAATTATGTATATAAAACACAGTTGACTTGCCTTTGCGTGTGTTTGTGGGGGATGCCACCATTGGGGCAGAGCACGTTCACCTTTTCCCAAACACCTGGTATCATAACTATTTCATAATGGTTCATGAACACGTGCTCATGATATAGTCGGAAGCGACTCTGCTTTTAGCAGAGATTTCTATTGAACGTGGAAAAGGTTTTTGTCGCTTTATGCCAAGTCAGATTAACAACAGTGATATGAATGAATCGGACACCGGGTGTCCTTTGACAGTTAATTTAATTTACTTCTTTGGGGTTTTATATATTACTTGACACTGGGCACGTGATTCATTACTATTGGAGTACCAAGTTCACACTTCCGGTCACTGTGTGCATACGACACGCCAACTTAAGTCTTCATCGGAGTGGTCAGGGCGGACGTCGGAGACGTTAAGCAGCTTGATGAAACCAAGGGAGGTGCTGACAGGTAAAGAATGATATACTCAGTAATTCATCATAGTGTATCGCATTCGTGTATAAATGAGAAATCTAAAGCATGTGTGATGCACCAACCATTTCACCAATCACCAATGGTTATCTTTCAACAAGCCCCCACCACCACACACACAGTAGTAGCAAGACCAGGGGCTCGTTCGAACCAACGATCAGAACTTTCAGCCACGCCTAAGGGGCGTAACTCTTCACGGCGAATTGTAGTGAGTGAGTGAGTGAGTTGGATTTAACGCCGCTTTTAACAGTATGCCAGTTATATCACGGCGTGTCAGCTTAATGTGAGAGGAAAGCCCGAAGTGATGCAGGACTCAGACGTTTACCACTTCGGTGAAACCAACGAGTTCGGGTATGGTGCTGACAAACCTAGAAACATAATCGGGGCGAACCGGGATTCGAACCCACAATCATAGGTTTCTGGCGTACCCAAGGGACGCAAATCTGCACAGCGAATCGCGGCGCCTTAGACGACTGGGCCACCCGTGCCCACCATGGCGAATTGTAAACCCTACCCCCACCCAAGTGTTGATGAAGTCTTAACACATCCAATAGCTCGTCCTTAAGTTTGTTTATTACTTTGTTTTGTTTTCCGAAAATATAACTCGTTTTGATGACAGTTCTTTAGATTTTACTTGACGGTTCAGTGACCCTGTCAATATCAAGGGTAAGCTTGGTTCATCTGTTGGCAGGTAATTATAATACGTTCCGCTTCGTTCCCCGAGCGTATCAGAAACGACATTTCCTTGAGTTGAATGTAGCTCAAAATCCACAAGCTTCCCATTCTCATAACAAAAGCCGTCAGCTTGGGGTGCACTCAGTCTTGTGTGCAAGCTGACACGTTGACAGTGGGATACACTGAATCAGTCGCTCGGAATATCTCCAAACATACCGATCAACAATCCGATCGATTACACCCCGTTTACTCGATGATGAGACGAATCACCTAGGGAAAGCTTTCCATCGGTGTGTTCACCGTGGCATTGACAATATTTGTGTTCGTTTCCTTGAGTGACACAATATCTTCACGAAACAAAAAGGAAATTGACGAATTGGTCCATGCGGGTAAGTCAATATATGATGTTACGTTTCGTTGCAATATATAATTTATAAATATTTCACCTGTGGAATTTAGATGTATATGTTACATCCAATCTGTGCAACTTCCCATTGCATGCATTGGACGGGCCGTTTGCCCAATGCACGCAATGTGCAAACAATTATTTGCTCATTGCATGCAAATGCAAATGTAGCAGGTCGTGGAGTCATCCTACAGGTGACATCCTTACCTTGTCAGCTTGCTGACGGGGTTAACCTCTTTGGTCATGTGGACAAGACGTCCGACCTCGGATCTGAAGGTGCACTGCACTCGAAGCGCTTAGCGGAAGTATTGAAATCAATCGTTCTGCGCATGCGGATTACTTAATGCCTTTTCCAAATTTTCCGTTCTGTGCATGCGCGATTTCGCATATTGTTTCCGAGATTTCATGTCACCACTATTTGACAATGATTCATAAACACAGTCTCGTGAAAGTTCGGAATCGTACAATTCCAAACTGGTGAAGCCTATTCAGACTAATGCTTAGTCTCTAAAACTGTATAGTTTTGAAAGAAACAAGTAACTCAATTTAAATTGAAGAGGAGCCCCATGGCCAGTGATATGGGAGATTCCGAGATGAACCTATTCTATGGCTATCAAGGCTGCCACCCAAACCGATCCAAACTGTATCGTGATGTCTTCAGAAATACAAATTTCTTTCAATATTTATATTACGAGATAGTAAGGGTAAGGCTTACTCACCGGTGGAACGTAGACAATATCGCTAATACAGATATAACGTATTTGAATGTTAATACTAAAGACAAACACTCATTACTTTTGCAGTGACGATATAACTCTTATACACGTTTATTGGTAACTTTCGTCAGTTTTGCTCTTCATTTTAATAACTTTGTTTTCACATATACATGTAGCAATACCCGACAAGCCTATCATACATAACTATGAGGCAGTTTTCAATCTTGTACTGACTTACTCTGGTGTTCCTGAGCGAAGCTTATTGGCTTGGGTGTTACACCCCGTTTTTCTGGTAATCCTATTATTACTTTATTTTTTATGTAATGACACCCTGTACACTGGATCACGGCTCCGTGACTATCCATAACAACCAAGATGAACATTCAGTTCAAGTAAATGATGAGTTTGTTTTGACGCCACAGTCAGTCAAAGACCAATGCTGTGAGGTTTGATTACACACTTCTTCCAGGTCGAACATCGTGGATCCTCATTTTGAGAATCAAAGTTCATACCGACCCGCGAATACCGACCCGCTCAAGATGACCTTACTTGTTGCTAAAACTATCATCTATAACCCCCCCTCTCACCCCCCCCCCCCCCCCCCCCCACACACACACCTAATTACCTGGACAGGAAATACTGCTGATAGCCTCTGGTCAACTCCGCGCTACCGCAGAATGTTCGTCCAACTCTGCAGGGGGCATTCAAACACGCTGAAATGTTTTCGCCTTGCATCCAAGATGGTGGACAAGTGAAATCGCATGAAATTTGGCTATTATAGGTCGCTGTCTCTGTTTTGATTACCCAATAAAGTCACTTCAACATTCAATTTCCGATACAAGTAAATGAATAAGTGAGTTTTACGCCACAATTAGTCAAAGACCAACGTTGTCTTGTTTGATGACACACAATCTACCAGGTAGCACATTGTGTACACCCTATCCCCATTTAAGTCTCCACTGTGCGTATTCCTGGTGACGAAAAGGCCCCATGTACCTGGGAATCTCATTAATACATTCATGCGCGGCATTATTTACCTTAAGAAGATCATAGTTAACATGCTTATCCAACTCAAACTACCATCCCGCCGAAGATGAATTTTGATTTACCAATCCCTGAATCGAGAAGACGTGCGTTACGAAGCTCCTCCAAGTCGTCATCAACATCCGTAAATGTCTGTGATATTATTACCCATCAAAAGCCGAATATATTTATTGTGCTTTCTTGACGAAAAATGTCCTAATTGTGATAACACTTTCTTAGTAAAGTACATATTATCGTACTTTTTTGGGTTGACTCCCGTCCGGGATTTGAGCCCACACTGTGAGTGAGGCACCCACT